ACTCAGGCCAATACCTCACAAACATATGCACAGGCCAAATTTACTAAGATAATTTCTCAGTTGAGACTTTTCCCAGGTGATTCTAGTTTATAGCAAGTTGACATTTAAGACTAACAACCACAGTTTACAAAGCACAATGTCAAAATACTCTGTTTTTAATTTTCAGTTTTCCACAAAAGAACTGAATTTTGGTAAGCCGATTTGTCCAGGACTATAGCTAGCTAAAAGAGTAACACCTGAGTCATCTGAGTCCCAACATATTTACAGTATATACTTTCCTGTATAAAGTCATATCTTATTTGTACTTTTTGAGAGAACGAATTTTGCTTTATATCCTCCTCTTAAACAAGGCCTGGCATGAAGGGGACATTAGGGCTCTGAATTGGTTACTGCTGTCATAACAAAATACTGTAAGTTGCATCAATGAGGAGCTGTTAAGATTACAGTATTCTTCCTTTCATGAGAATTTTGTTTCTCATGATCTAGAGTTTGGGAACTCTAGGATCTAGATGCTGGGAAATTTCATGTCAAGTAAAGGCTACATCTCTACTTTCTGCTTTGTGACATGCTAGAAAAAGACAGAGATGGATGCTCTGTCCTTCACCCATGGCAGAAAAGGAGGAGAGACTCAGCAGCTCATTGACCTCTCTTTTACAAAGGCACCAATTTCTTTCACAGAGGCAGAGGTTCATAACCCATCACTTCCCTGGAGGACTCACCACCTCCTATCACTATAAAGTTTCCAGCTGAAGTTTTGGAGGGATACAAACTTTAAAATTGTAGGCATTATTTTCCCCTTAGTGGAAGTGATACCTTTCTTCCATGTGGGATGTCTGAGTGCATCCAAGCTCTTATGAATTCAGGTTCACAAAGAATGGCTGTTAGAAAGACAAGTTCCCTCCATGCAGTCTTATTGTTCTGTCTTGAGATGACTATGGACAACCATTTTTTGAAGGCATAATATAGTGAGAAAAATAAGCCATTTCATATGATGGACTCAACTTATCACCTCTAAAAATTCTCCCCACTCTTTTCCTATCTTACTATGTAAGTTTACACAATTTATTTTTCCAAGAAAATTAGTCATCTACCCAGTAGCTTTTGTGATATATTAAAAATTGAAGTTCCCTTTGCTTCTGGAAATTTGAAGCATCCATTTTTATTATGAAGGATCTATATGACAACCAAAAAGGAAACCCAGAGTTCAAGAAATAAAGAATAATGTTGTAATCATAACATCTCATTATTTTGTTTCTAAGCCCGATCTTTCACAAGGTTATTTCCTGGAGTTGAATATTAATGGATTCTGGCTCTCTTTATGTAGAACAGATCTTCTTAAACACCAGTGTTCATAAGGAAGGACATTAATCAAGGAAGAGAGCTTTGTTTCTAATAATATTTGCATAATAGCTACCCTTGGGTGTGTTGCTTGGCTTAAAAATAAGTAACCATGCTTTCTGTATCCAACACAATGGAAAATATTTTTGGTTATGATTCTGTCATACAGTCTCTTATGTATTTATGGGGATATCAAACTGAGAGGCTGCTAAGGCCCCACGGAAACAAATAGCATGGCTCATGAACGATACAGGGTAGAAGTTGAAAGGGGTTCTGCATGGAAGACTGGGCATAAAGGACCTAAGAGCAAGTCATGACTCTGATTTCAGAGGGAAGAAGAAGCAGGCCAGCCTGCTGGAGGACATTTGGATGCTCCTGTGATTTATTTTAACTCTTCCATTGCTTCTTATCACCTACAAGCTGGTAAGAAGTACCTAAGGAGGACCAGTCCCAGTACCTAACCTTGGCATACAGACACTCACTTCAGTGGCCTGTGAGGCTACAGTACACATGATGTGGGGCCGCCCTCCATGAAGAACTCCTTGCAGCTTCCCTCAAGCACTGTATTTAAAGTTCCATGCTTTTATTCAGATTTTTTTTCCCTCCATCTTCTAAGGGCTTTCCAAATCTTCTTTGCCAATTAATTTTACTTACCAGGCATAGTCAGTTTAAATTTCCCATCCTCCTCAAAATATTGTCAATAATGCTGCTAGCCACGGGTCTTACCTACCCTCTCCTGTTGACTGATCGGTTCACACCTTTCCCCAGGCTTTGCCCTGGGGAACCTCCTCTGTTGTCTTGATTTCTTGTGTACATGTACCAAGTTTGGCTTTACATGAATGTTTAAAAATAATGACCTCACCTTCTCACAGCTTTCTGCCTTTCATGATCACTTACCTTCTGAGGAAAGTTCTGTAAGATCTTGAAAACATACGCCATGCTGCTGTTTCATCCTCTGGGTGTGGGTTACGAGGCTGTACAAAAGAGTCATTCTTGTAATTTTGTTTGCCTTATTTCTTTTACAATCAAGACAAGACCACTGCAGCAAAGGGAGCGTTCTTTAGTATGAAAATCCAAGCTTATTTGTTCCTCCAAGCTGAAATTGTGAATAGTTTCTCTCAATCTCCCCTTACTTGTGATCTGCCATAGGGTTTCTGTCATGAAGGAATATACCACCTCTCAGCTCCTTGATCTGTCCTTCCCATCTGAAATATGTTGTGTTTGTGTTAGCAGAGCTTTACATGTGCACTTCAAAGGCCAAGTTTATCCTTAACAGAAATTTCCTTCTCTCTCCCGCTCTCTCTCCCCCTCTCTCTCTGTCTCTGTCTGTCTCTCTCTCTCTTCCTCTCTCTGTCTGTCTGTCTTGCCCTCCCTCTCTCTCTCTCTCCCTCTCCTCTGTCTTTCTCTCTCTCTCTCTCTCTCTCTCTCTCTCTCTCTCTCTCTCTCTCTCTGTGTGTGTTCACATGAAGTCACAGACGTGCTGAAAGCTACACCTTCTATCTATTTATAAAGCCTTTTTTTTTTAAACTTAACCCTCACTACAGAGGTGAACATCACAACTGTTGGGCTTCTTTGCCAAGGACAAAAAGAAATGCCTTAAAATGTTCATGTTCGGCAAATCATACAGAACGATTCTCTAATCCATGACTTTCCATAGTACAAACTTAGCAACAGTGTTTTCTGCTGCCTTTTGTGGGTGCCGTGGTACCTGATAGAGCTCTGTCCACAGTGCGTTCAATGAAGTAGAGACCTAGATGTAGGAGCATGCATTATGGTTCTGGCAGGCTATGATAGGCTCTGTGCCCCAAATGCCACTTCACCCAGTGTCAGGGTCCTAATTTGATAAAACAAAGAGGGAGACCCAATAACTTCATAGGTTCTTTAGACCTATCAATTCCATTTCCGTTGTTTCAGTATCTACTTATTGATTCTGTTTTTACAACATAGTTTTCTTTCTTTTTTTTTTTTTTTTTTATGTCATGCATGTGACAATGCATTCTGATTCCTCTCACCTGCCAGTCCCCTCTCCTCCCTATTAGTCCGTTTCCACGGTCATGTCCTTTTATATTGCTTTGTGGCCCACTGAGTTTTCCCATTGCTTTCTTTGTATTCAGCTCAAGGACTAACTGATGAGCCTCTGTGTTGTACGAAGGGATCTGAACAGAATGGTTCAAAGCTAAGTGTGTGTTGCTTATATAGCTCGTTAGAGAAGGGAATCTTGCCCTTGCCCTTTCCCTTTCCAGTCCTACACATCATCCCCCGCCCCTTCCTTCCATGTTGAAGCAGCCATCCTCTTGTCTGTATGTTTTCAAAGCTTGTGCTTTGTCTAAGATAGAGCACTCAGTCTTGTAGCACTGAATGCCTTTGTTCACCTAGGAATCTTAAATGTGCAATAGAGAGCCAAGCGATGCGCTCTTTCTCTCTCTCCCCCCCTTCTCATGGTGTGCATACGTGTGTGTGTGTATGTGTGTGTGTGTGTGTCTGCACATCTGTAGGTCAACCTCAGGTTTGGATCTTCAGGAACCCATCCACATAGGAACCCATTGTGGCAGGATATTTCACTGGAACCTGGGCCTTGCTGGGTTGTTTTGCTGGGTTGGTTGGACTTACCCAGTAATTTGCTTATCTCCCCTCTCTTGTACACACACGTTTATGTCACCATATCTAGCTTTTTTTTTATGTGGGTCTTGGGGATCAAACTCAGGTTCTCATGCTCGTACAGCAAGCGCTTAACCAGCACTGCACTCCTGGTTTCTTGATACTACTAGACTTTAATTTAATCCAACTGATACATTAATTAAATAAGATAAACTTAAATTATTTTTTCATCTAGAGCTATGTGACTTGGAAGGCTGAGCCCATTGTTTGAATAGTTTCCAAATTGATACATCTCATTTTCTAATGGCACCCATTCTACAACAATGAAAGTAGCTCACTTCAGGAACCATGATTGTCTTTAGATGAGCATGTACTTTTTCTTTTTTATTAACATGATTTTCTTATTTGTTTTCTATATCCTACATGTATAAACCATTAGAAATTTTAATTTTTTTTCTGAAGTATCTCACAAATAAGGTAATGAAGATCTTTAGGCTTACTTCCGTCTTGACCAAACATGATTATTCTCCCCAGAACACAAATAAAATGCTGATTTCCTCTTTTGTGTCTCTAACTCTCTTACTGTCCATGACAGTGAGTATTCACCACCTCTGTATTCCCAATCGAAATGACTGGAGAGGTACTGAGTATCCAGAGAGCAAAATAGAAAGACAGAGGGAGGAGCCACAGCCATTAACCCTTCCAGCTAGCCCACAAGGTCTAGACTTCCTCTTTTACAGTTGTGAAAACTGAGGTTCCTGGGATTAAATGGTTTGTCCAGTGTCCCACACCTCTTAAGGTCATAGCTAATGTGACTCCAAATCTCACATTATCTTTGCAGTGCCAGGATGGGAAGGGGGGTTCAAGAAACTGCTAGAATCGTGTATATGATTGGTGCTATGGAAGGAAAAGGCTTGAAGAAGGGAATTTCATCTGTTTAATGAAGAATCCCTGGTTCCTGTCCCCAATAAAGATTACTTTTCCTAAATATGGAGCCGTTCATTTGTAAATTCCCATTGGGAGGGTCTTCTACTAATGGGACATCTCTCTTTTGTCTTTCACAGCAATTTTGCAGGCAGTAATAACTGGTGATCTTATGAAGGTAAGCTATCCTCCTACCAAAGTGTTGGCAATTGCCTCTCCAGATTTTCATGATCCAGTCTATGAACCACTTCCCCTGTCTGCACTGGCTTAGTAGAGGAAGGAAAGATGCCCTTTTGAGAAATGAACAGAGAGAATGAGGAGAGCTCGCAACCATACTCTACATCATCTCCTAACAGCAAAGGAGAGAGGCAGAATTCCCTGGACTTGCGCTGGTTAGTTAAAGAAAAAAAAAAAAAAGGAATGTGTTCCTAGGATGCAATGTTCATAGTGCCTAGAATCCCTTTTCTTTACAACTAACATTTGAAGAATTTGAAGGCTTGTTTTTTAGATGTGTTTGTGAATGAATACTAAGAATGGCCTAGTTAATACCCAGAAATGCATGTACCTGCTTGCATCTGTTGATATTGTGGTCTACGTTGGAAGTCACAGGCAACTTCAAAAAGGCATGCTAGTCCATTTTGGGCATTGCAACTTGTGCTTGTATTTTCTGATGGATTTCATTCAGAAGAAAAGAAATGGTTACCGCCTCCTTTAAAACAAATGCCAGTTTTGAAACTAGAGTGCCTGATTTCAGATCTTGCTTCTGTCACTCTATATGTGGTTTTATTCCTTTAGCGCATTTTCTCAGGGCCTTGATTTCTTTATCTGTGCAACAGTGTAACTGCTATTTCTTTCTTGGTTTGTCATAGGTCTGGATGCAATCATATGCTAAGGCTTCCAGTACTGTTCATGTTGCATAGAAAAGTGCCCTAAAATGTTAACTGGCTTAGTCTTGCTGGATAGTATTAATCTGCTTTTCTTCTGACGATGTAGTAATTAAAATGTTGGCTTTATGTATTCTCTAACAGTTCTAACTATTCTTGGGTTTCTTATGTTGGGGGCTCATGACTACCTATGAGTCCCTGTGTGATTCCAGTGGTGCGGGTGAGTCGTGTGATAGTGCTGGCTGCCTCTGAGGGGTGTCTTAGAGTTTTTATTGCTGCGAAGAGACACCATGACCACAGTAACAGCACTTAGTTGGGGTGGGGCTTACAGTTCAGGGGTTCAGTCCATTAGCATCATGGTGCGGAGCATGGCGGCGTGCAGGCAGGCAGGCATGGTGCTGGAGCTGAAAGTGTTGTGTCTTGTAGGCAACAGGAAATTGACTGACACACTGAGGGAAGCTTGAGCAAAAGAGACCTCAGAGCCCGCCCCCACCATGACACACTTCCTCCAACAAGACCACTCCCTTCGAGGGCTATGTGCTTTCAAACCACAGCAGTGGGGGATATACGTTTCCCATTAGCCCATGTCCAGTACAGGCTGAGAAAACAAAGGCTGTAAAGGGAAACAGAGAGCTACTTATTTTTCCACTTCTCTTTTCCCTGTCCAGTATCTTCCCCTTCCTGTTTGCTCTCCTTTTGCCTTGCCTTGCCTTTTCTTTTCTTGTCTTGCCTTTTTATGCATCCTCATTGATTAAACCAAAGAATGCCTGTTCAACATTTTCACCTCATCACTTGCAGAAAGCCAAACGAGAGACAGAGGGTTGCCTACACGTGGGTCAGTTGCAGACTCACTCATATGATTCTGACTGCACTGCCTGTACTGTTTCCACTGTAGTGTCCAAGGGAGTTGTTACCCTGAAGAGAAGCTTCATGTTCAAACAGGATTCCTGGGGGTTCACGTCATTTCCCTTCAGTGGACTAGCCAACACCAGTATACAATCCTGCAAGGACTTACTTACCTTGGATTCTGTGGGAAGCAAGAACAACCCCTACCCTTGAACACTTCTAGTCTAGTTTCCGATCTGAAGCTCTTTCCTTATGCTTTTGTTATAGGCAAATAACTCTTTCTGTCCTGGATGTATTGTTATATATCTAAAGATATTTTTACAGAGAATTGCTTAAAATACAAGAAATCACTATATCTACCTGGTTATTCTGGCACACTGCACGTTATAATTAGCCTCTAAACACCTGAGGAGTGACTCAATAATACCTTATTTACTATGAGATGGGATGCAGAGAGAATGATGGACTTTGTTTTCCAATGTTTCCCTTTGTGTATATGTTTCCTCTGATCTTCTCAATTTTCTTTTGCTTCCATCTTGCATGTAGAATGTACAATATATATATATATATATATATAAAATATTAAACATGTTCTATGTGAGAGAGACAGAAAGATATACAGACACACACAGACAGAGAGAGGGACAAAGGGGGTTGGGAGAGCAGACTCTAGGAGTGCCCATACACTGGGGATATGTAAAGATTAGACTGTTAATGGGCTGACTTTTAGTCATAGTGTACAACCTTCCCAAAAGGCAAGTACACAACAACGGTCTGGATCCGTCTGTACCGGCATCTTCATTGGATCTGCCCACAAAGGAACAGTACCATCACAAAATGTAGCAGGACACAGCAGATTCTCCTTTGCTGTTCACGCCGCTTCTTCCTGTTCTCCTGCCCTAAAGTTCGGAGATACAGCTTTCCATAGCTCCCATCTTTCCAGAACCTCAGTGCAGTGCAGAACCTTGGTCAAATTTCTAGATACTTTTCCAGGGCTCCTCTCCAAAACTCTGCTTCGTGTCCTTTTGCCAGCCTCATAGTGCCTCTCTCTGCAACCAACACTTGTTCTTCCTCTGGAATTGGGAGGCCATTGAGGCCGCCGGCTGAGTCATATTACCGTTGCTTATGCGTTAGTATTTTTTGAGACTTGCTTTCTTGGTAGATTCAACTTTGTCTTCAAATAATCTGTGAGATGCTTCACCAAGGGCTCCTCTTGCCCGCAGTTTGGAAAGCAGTGACGCCTTCACACTCTAAATCGTATTCAATACTTCATGAGCTGGGTCTGCATCTTCATTTGCCCACCTTACTCTCTGGTGGCCGCATCCTTGGCTTTTACCACCAGCTGTTGTCATATGGGAGCAATGGCATCTGCACCATCATTTTGGTTCTCTCTACGGCATGATCATCTCTAGCCATGTTGGGTGTGCACTGCCTGATTCACAGGAGATACCAGGATGAGAAACGCACCCTCCCTCAGAGTATGTGTGCACGCACATGTACGTGTGTCTGAGCGCTGTGTGCAGGAAAATGAGACATTTGGTAATTGTGTTCATGACAAAGAACAACTAAAGATAAAGAGAAGGAACCTCGAGCGTCAGAGCCAGGTTCTTCCTGCTGCAACAAACGCTGGATGAACCTCAGGAAATTTGAGATTTCTTCTCAGAGTCTGGGGGCTCAGAACAGGGGGGAAAGGAAGCCAAGTCAACACATTCCTGTTTCCTTGAGCTATCTGATACCCACAGACCCTTTCCGGAGCTACATGAGACATGGACCATCTATGCAGAGTGATGAAGGGATGGTACTTCATCACTCTGACTTTCTTCTGTGTCCTCTGAGGCTGAACACATGTGTGGTTTACTAAATGACTTTTCTGTGTGACCTTGGTGTGCTCTTATCCCCATTCTGGGCACTGCTGACATTTGCTCCCTTGTGTTTCTTTCTTTCTTTCAGCTCATAGAAAGCTATAAGAATGGAGGCAGCTTGTTAATTCAGGGACCAGACCACTGTTCACTCCTTCACTACGCAGCTAAAACTGGCAATGGGGAGATTGTGAAGTACATCCTTGACCATGGTGAGTAGGCAACCTACCAGGGATTACATATCCATGAAATTCTAGATAGCGGTGTCTATGTTGACACTCAACCAGATTTTGACAATGGGATACTCACATTGACAATTGTTTCTCTGACACTGATGCAGGTGGGCCATCTTAACCCAGCAATTAAAATAAACAATTTTTATATGCAGACTTAAGAAAGGAAGGCTTTGGACAAGTAATTAATTTAAAAATTAAAAAGCTTTAAAATTAGTTCATTGTTGGGTGCTGTGGTGAATGCCTTCAATCTCAGCACTAACCACTGAGACATCTCTCTAGCCCCTAACTTTATTTAATTAATTAAAACTTTAATTAACAAAATACAGCACGACACGGTTGTACTTATCTTTCAGAGCTCTTTATAAATTAACTGTTTTGTCTCAGCTGGGTAAATCTATATTTATGGTTGATTTCTTCTGCAGATTCCTGAGTTTGCTCTTCACCATTTTTTCTAGTTTCTTAGTTTTTGTTGTTTGCCTCTCATTTGTCTTTACTCACACTTTATTCTCTGGAATAATTCATGGTGCTGCCATGTCCCATGCGGCTGCCCATCCTCACCTCCTGGAGTGCGTCCCAACTGGTCCTAACTGGAGGCTGGCTGACCTCCCCTCCCAGACTGTGTGCTACCTGGGCTTCCAGTTTGGTCTTAGATCATTCCCAAGATGGAGAGCTGGTGGTTTAACACCCGTGAGCCCAGTGGGAATATAACTACACATAAGGCACACAGGCCACGCGACTTCTCATGTTTACAATATGACTAGAGGTAGGGAAGAGCCTGGGGTGGGGTGGAAGGGAAATGCGCCTCTCTTGGCGGTGTTTCAGGGTGAGTAAGTGAAAGTCTGTCTGTGAGACCCAGGTCCACAGAAAGCCTAAGCAGCTTCCCCGTAGCATCGATGCTGCCTACTGCTTGCACAACCACCAAGCTGTCTCTCCAGCCCCCAAGCTTACTTCCTCCACACAGGCATTTAGGCTTCAGATAGCCAGTAGGTTAATGAATTATAAAACTGAGGACATTTGCATTTTCCCACTCGTTCCTTCCCTCCTTCCTTAATTCTTTGGATAAATCCATGGGGAGTGCCTAACAGGAATTGCCTGCTGTAGGATGAACACTTGAATATGCACTCAAAGAATGCATTCAATATTTTCAAGCAATAACAAGCTAAACACACACACACACACACACACACACACACACACACACACACACACAAAATTAGTGCTCAAATAAATTCACTGCAGTTGAATGTGGATGTTTTAGGTCCAACTAGAAAGCCACACACAGAAAATACAATTACCATTTTTTCAAGCTCATATGATATGCCAGATGCCTGTACAGAACATACCACACAATTTAATCATTTGAGACTCTCCTTCCTTTGTGTTTCTCACTATGAAGAGTTTGCTTTGACTCTTGGCCAGACCTGTGGTTTAAAGGATGGAAGGAAAGGCTGGGAAGGTTGAATGGTGAGCGTTGGAAAGTGGCTTTCCGAGCAGACTGGGTATTTCTACCCCCACCTGTCCTAGAAAGAGGCACTGTGGCGCTGAGTCTGTTGTAGACATCATTTGTTCTTCTCTTCTGATCATCCACTGACTACACTTCCAGGAGAGACTTGTAAATGAAAGAGTGGCATGATGTCTTCCACACACATATGCCACAGGTTTATGCTGTTTTCCCTGGTCATTTCTCCAAAAGGCCGATGAAGAGAGAAAGGAAATTTTGGAATATTGCACATCTACATGAATTAAAGCCACATTGGTCTATGGGACATTTCCCTTTTAAGAAAAGTCCTCAGGATTTGCACAAAGTTCAGAAGGTGGCCATCCTATGTGATACAGAATCTTTCTACACTGACCTGGCTGGCCTGGACTTCTCTGGGAAGGCTTACCTCCCAGATATTCCTTCTGTCTTCCAAGCACTGGGATGAGATGTGTTCTCTGATGCTCTCGGCTAAGCTGTGCACTTTTAAATCACAAACTGCTTTGTAGAACCATTCACCTCTCTGAAATGATGGGAAGCCCTCTAGTGCAGTGTTCTTCAGGTCAGGGAGAGATAAATAAATGGAAAGCATTACCCTGGGTATACTTAGTCCTTGGTACTTTATGAGTTCTTTGTAGACTAACATCGTCTCTTCTGACTTGGTAGTACTGGAGAATAACAGGAATGTTTATGTATGCTGAAAAATCTCTTGACATTCCTGTATATGTGTATATATATGCACATAACAGCTTGAATCACATCTCTCCAATAGCTTCAGATAATAGAAATCCCACAAGTTTTTCAAAGACCTTGTTATGGGGATGCCTCGAGGGATGACCACTCAGACATAATTTAGAGTCAACTGAAAGTCTTTATTCCAGCTGGGACTACACCTGGGCATTTGGGACCTAAGTGTTACCCCAAGCATTTGGACCAATGGGACTTTTAAATGCAAAAGCCACATCTCAGCATCTCACTCAGCAGCTACAGCAAGAGGTTTGCACAAGCAGGAGGTTTAATAGAAGCTAAGTTAGTTGGGGCATCTTGATCTCAGGTCCTAGAATAGAGCTGGGTAATTTTCCACAGGATTCTCCATAAAGGAGATCAAATTCTAGTTAAATCTAAAATGGCCTCAGCAAGAATATATGTTGGAGGAATCTTGCCCTGTCTTCTGACCGTACTCAGCCTTGACTGACAATGGTAATTAGGAACTGCTGGGCTCTTTTCAAGGTACCTAAGTTATATTCTGCGTGGTCCCTTGAGTTGACTCTCAGCTCACAGCATCCTTCTTGCTCTGACCTTCACTCTGCTTTGTCCCTTCGTCGGAGGCTTAGGGAGAGGAGGGTGACCCACTATCAGGAGGACCCCTTCTGATCCAGAGTCCCAAGAGATGAGTTATCTCAAGCATCAGCCATACCATTTCCTTCAAAGTGCTCTTTTTAGATGGCCATGGGGTATGCTGTGAGTGGGATGTATAGGGTGTTCTGAGAAAGCCATAGGAGGCGTCTTCCTTTGGACTTCTCTCAGACGTGCAAAACACTGCTTTCTTTTATTGAGAAGAAGAAAAAAAAAAAAAAGCTGGAATCTGGGCACTTCAAGGCCTGAAAAGCAAATGGGAGGAGGAAGAGAGGAAACAATTCCAGAGACAGGGTCGAGCTGTGGACACAAGGGTTCCAGCAGGGACTTTCTCCATGGTTCTTGCTTTTCAGATCTTTTCAACCATCATTTTTACTGGCTGCCTCCCCCGAGGTCACCCCTCCAAGACTTTTGTGTGGTTTTCTTCCTTTACTACGCACAGCATTTTGCTCTTTTGTTTTTATTGTCCCTGTGCCCACCCCGCTGCCCCCCACTGTTTCCTCAGATAGAAACCCCACTCATGCATTTCCTTTTTACTTCAATGGGTTATTTTGTCTTCTCTCTCTTTCTGACCCCAGTCTTTCTTTTCTTTTTCTTTTTTTTTTTTTAACCCCAACTTTTTTTTATTTTTTCTGCCTCTAGTCCCAGAGAGAAAGGACTACCGTCCCGCTGAGACAGGATGACAGTGCTGTTGGCGTTCCCAGTGCCAGCTCTCTCCACATCTGTGCAGCCTTTGTCCTGTGGCAGGGGAGGATTTGGAATGGTCTGCTGGCAGCGTCAGGGAGACTAATGGGAAATGAGGTCCTGGGAGGGAGTCTGTGGGGCGATGGAAGGAATAGCAGAGGGGATTTGGATGCATTGGTAGGAGGCAAATTAAAGAATGCATGCTACAAAAGGCCCATCGTCTATGATGCATATTCAAGGTAGATGATAATGTCATGTGAACAGGAACTGGGGTGGCCAGTGTCAGAGTACACAGATGCAGTGCAGGGCAGCAGGACCTGAGAAAGTCCCAGTACTTACCACAACATTCACTTTCTCACACTGAAAGATTTGAGACATTTTGCTGCATTCAACATTCCCTAGACTTAGTCTGCATTTGTATAGGGGTGTGTGTGTGTGTGTGTGTGTACACATGGGTACACATATAACAGGTACATACACATGTATATGACATATATATACACATATATGTGACACGTGTATGACATGTCACATACATGTATATGTACCTGTTATGGCTTGAATATGCTGTGTTCTTCACAGGCCCATGCATTTTCACATACATGAATGTGTGCTCTGTAATCGCTGGTGCTGGTTTGAGCAGTTGTGAGCCTTGGGAGGCAGAGGAGGTGAAGCTTGGCGGTGAAAGGCCAGCCTCGTGCCCCCACATGCCTCCGTCACCATGGACCATGCCACTGTCCACACCGTGCCTTCCGGAACATGATGGTCTGTTCTCTGTGGAATGCGAGCTCATGGCAGTGTCCTCTCTCGCCTCGCGTCGCTTCTCTCTTGTATTTTTCCACAGAGACATGAAAAGAAACCAGCACCGTTCCCCGATTTTCAGACATCTCCCTGTGTCCTGCAGCTTTCTGAATCCATGGTTCAACTCTGGGTCTTCCTCTGAAGGAAAAAGAAGAACACCTCACGTTCATGGGATCCAAAAATTGTTTTAAAGCGCCACTCACCACTCAACATTTGGCTTTTTACAAAGTGATATTTGTGCCCCAGACCCGTTGATACCAAAATGTATTGTTCAAGAGGTTAAATGTAAATGCTTACAATTCTGCACAGTGAATTCTCCTATCTCCATTGCACAGGGAGTTAAAACTAAGGCGCTGTGAGCTGGCCAAACTCGTGTGTGTGTATGGTATAGTTTCTGCCTTCTGGATTCAAAGGGCTGTGAACACAGGCATGGGTCAGAAGGTACAACACATGGCAGCTGCATGCCAGTGTCCTCTGTTGAGCTCCAGTGACAGCATGCTTAAGATTCTAGAAGTGAAGATTTCATAGAGAAATTGGCACTCCAGTCCCTCAGTGAAGAGGGACAGGGTAGCAGTTTGAGACAGCAAGCCTTGTAGATGCAAGGATTCTGGATGGAGTACTTTCTGTTGCTGTGATTAAAAACCTGGACCAGGGTGAAGAATTTGGGGGCTCATAATTTTAGATTAGAGCCTATCAGAGAGGTGACACGAAGTGACATGTGGCAGGCGTAGAGGCTGGTTCAGGTAGCTGAGAGCTCGTATCTTCCACTGCAAACACGAAGCAGAGGACAAACCGGAAGTTGCAGAGACTTCTGAATCTTGAAGTCTGCCCTTTGCTGACTGCCTCCAGAAAGCTTGTACCTCCTGAACCTCTCAGAACACCACCACCAACAGGGGACCAGGGGCTCAAGTGCCCAACACTAAGGTGGACATTGTCATTCATACCGCCTCAGATTCCTTCTGTGTACTGAAAGAATTGTGAATTGTCTACTGGAAGTTCAATGTTCTTATTGCAAATTCCAAGGGGGATTCCATAATGGGGATATTCATATATATATATATATATATATATATATATATATATATATATATATATATATCAATCCCAAGTTCAGCTCTCTGCCATTGACACGTTAGAAAAATACAGTTCTGCTTACTTTTTATCATCTTTCTCTTTTTCTTTCATTAGTGAGACTCCTATTAACAAAAAATATTAGGTGCTATTTTTAAAAATCCACTTTAATTTTTCAAAAGAAGTTGGCATGGTTCTATTTGATGGAGGATCGGGGACTTTATGTTAATTACATCTATCATTTTAGAGTCATCCACTAATACTGAAGTGGAGTCCCTTTAGATAGGGACTTAAGAGCACAAGTGCCGGTTTCCAGCGCTGGTGGCTGTTTGTCTTACCTCTGCTAGCAGCAGATGATTAAAAGAACAGCTGAGGGACCCTGGGTAGCCAGAGACATGCCCAGATCCGACTGGGTAATACTGTGGGATAACTCAGAGCTAGGGTTGTGGTGCTCTGGGTCAGCACCGTGAAGAACAAAGTCCTTCGTTCCCTCATCTTCATCTTTAGATTGTCAAACTATTACTGTCGTGGCCCAATCACAAACGCTTCAGGGCTCCTCACCGGCACAGAGCCTTAGACCCAGCAAGTCTTGGAACTCACTGTGGCTTCTACTGTGGCATTCTGAAGGTCAGCAAAGAAGAAAGGAGAAGATGTTTTAAGGCCTTTGTTGCATTGGCCACTGTGCAGAGAGCGGTAATAACAGGAATACAGCTGCCAGCTGCGTTCCTGGAATTTCTCTCTAAATAAATAGCTTGCAAGGCTCTGTGAAGATATCAGGGTCTCTTTAGGTGGGGCATCAGGTGCCATGACCCTCTTACTCCTGATCCTGTTGAGGCTCTCCTATCAGAAATCAAATAAGCCTGGAGTACATGGATCTCGAGAATTTGAGTCAAAACGCTGCTTAAAATCAAGTGGGAGTTAGTTGCCCTTATATATCACTTTCTTTCACTGATGTTGCAGTGTCTTGACTTAATATAGTCAGCCCTAGTATGCCCCAAAGCACTACAGTTGTTACTCTACATTTTATGAAGTCCTTATGGACTTTCAGACACTGTTGTTAAATACTTTAGATTGTATTGGCTCATGGAAACTCAAGATGGAAGGTAAATGTTACCATTAATTGATCCATAGAATTATTGATATAAAACTTATATAATTTAGAGGCAGGTAGAAAGCATAAAGCGATTCTTACATTTTAGGGATTTAGAGTAATCCAGTTAAGGAAGCAGGACATATATTTGAAAAGCAAATAAGTACTATAGGACGTGTAAGCACCGTCCATCGGATTCAGAGAAGGGGTTAGATTCCTTTTGTCAGATGTCTCTTTGGAGAACCTTGCAATAGTTGTGCTTTAAGGGAGATTTCAGTTTTAGATGCAAGGTCAGGAGAGGGAAGGCTGTCATGGATAGGGAGATTGGGAGACAGGCTCTCAGAGTGGGGGTGACGCCTGATAAATACATAGTGAGGTAGGACATCACTAGTTCCATGAAGGCCATGAGCATCATCTAAACACTTTGGAGTCAGTACCAGATGGGATGTATGGAAACTTAGTGACACATAGTAGTGTCTTTAGCAGTGGCTTCTGCATGCCAGCTGCATTCCACACAAGGTTCAAGGTGACTTAGCTCTTGGCTAACCAGGGCAGTCACAAAGATTCTGGAATATCTCGACTATCTCCTGTCCAATGGCAATCATGGTTAGAAACCTGTAACCTCTTCTTCATTTCTCTTCACATTATACATAAGGGATAGTTTTCAGGGATAATGCTCTCCACCAGCATAGCTCACAAATCACAGGGATCGCGTCTCTAAAGACTAAACTGGTTAGTGCCAGAACCATGTTTGGCACCTTGAAGCAGGGTTAGTCAACAATTCAGCCAAACATTGAAGCATTTGCCTGGGACCAGATTCTCCATACAGTACCAAAGGAAGAAGCAGGGGTGAATAAGTATAGGACATAACTCTCAGAGGTTTATTAGAGTCTCAAGGGACAAAATAAATAAATAAATAAATAAACTAGTGGTTTGAAAATAGATTGGCAAGTGTCATGTTGGATTATGTGATCAGCAGTCTCCACTTGGCTAGGATAGTCTCGATTTAGATGAAAATTTGCAGTACTTAAGTATGACAAATAGGACCCACACAAAAAGGGTAGGTATCATATGGGTATGGAGTGGTGTCAGCCCAGAGGGAGCTCTGGGAAAGAAATGAGTCCAGCTGACACCTTCAGAGTAAATAAGGTGAGGGGTTTCATGGGGGTAAGTTGTAATCAGAAGGTAGAATGGTGAAGATCCCAAACAATATTTGTAAAAGACGTGAATTAATTAGTAAACAGACACTGAGAAAGAGAAAGGCCACCTCTTTGTACATTTATATTCTAACTCTTGGGGAAAACACCGTGCAATGGTGTTGCATCTATAATCGTCTGACAATGTACACATGGCAGTAATTCAAATTTGAAAATGAGAAATTTCAGAAAGTAGACTTTTATCCGATAGCCAAACTATAGCTATTAGGTGACTTTTGTTTGTCTTCACTTTTCTCGTTATGCTATAGAAGGCCCCTTCCAGAAGCTGGAGAATGAAAAAGACCCAAAGCCCATTTAATTGGCCCTTTCTTTCTACCGAGACAATTATTTTTCAGTTATTCTATTCCAACTAATTTAACTTCAACTTCATTGAGACATAATCGTTTTTTCATTGTGTGTGTGTGTGTGTGTGTGTGTGTGTGTGTGTGTGTGTGTGTTATCTGTCTGCCATGTGCATGGTTGAGCCACACATGTATGTGGGGGCAGTCACTCATGTGACATCAGAGGAAGATACCAGGTGTCTTTCTCTACAGCTAGCTCTCTGCATTGCTTCTTTGAGACAGGGTCTCTCACTGAACTTGGTTAGCCTGGCTGGCCATCGAGGTCCTGGGGTCTGCTTTCCTCTGCCAACCTGTGCAGAGGTTACAGGCACGCAGGGCCATGCCCAGGTTTGTAAGCATTGAGTGCTGGGGGTTTGCACTCAGTCCCTCTTGTCTTCACAGCAGGTACTCTCATCCACTGAGTCTTCTCTGTGCATATCGACTGATGGAGTTTGGGAAACTGGCAGTAGAGAACTCTCTTACCGTCACTTGGCCTTATGGTTAACCTTGTCACCAAATTTATCTTTTCAGTTCACCTTTCTTCGTCATTTAAACTATTTATAGATCTCCTGTCAACAATTATTTTTGCAGTCTATTTTAACATCTTGCTTTGTTGTCGTTGTTGTTTAGGACCTGCAGAATTATTGGATATGGCAGACAGTGAAACGTGAGTGTTGCTTTTTATTACATAGTCTGAGCTGTTGTATTCAAAGCATATCTAGTCTATGAGGCATATCAGTTTTAATTTCACCGATTAAAAGCCCGCTTTAAACTCTATTAATGGTTGTGCAGAGGTAATAAGCTGCATAAAACACCAGCACAAAACAATTTGTATTGTGATGATTATATACATATCCATGCAATCACTGTTATCGCCTATAGCACCCTACCAGCAAGAAACTTTTACACCAGCATTTGGACTGCTGACAAAAAAATAAGTCCATGTATCTTTATCTCTACCATATGCAGCATATTTTCTTATGCCTTACATCTGCTGCATGTAATGAGCAACTTCTGTTAGTTGAGTCTGTGACGGAACAAGTTGTATACTAACTACCCTGGAGAACTGGAAACATAGTTACTTGAGCAGTTACAAGTTCTTGGGTGGTCCCTCAGCTCAAATTGTTTGTTTTCATCTTCCTTATTCTCCTGGCATACAAATGACTACTTTTCCACTAAGGGGCATAAGAAAAAGATGATTAATTAACTCTGAAAGCCATGTGAGGACCACCAGGGGGGGTTAAGGAAGTCAAACAAAAGACAAATGTGAGGGTGTTTAGAGAGGAGTGAACTAGTAATCAGGGAGTAGACATGGGAATGGACAGATAGAATAGAGGGAAATGAGAAGGGACACAGCGATGAGCTGCTGGACACTGGTCCACAGAGATGGCAGTGGCGTGCTGGTGTGGTTGTTAAGTGGGGTTGCCATTCATCCTGGTCTGGCTTCTTCATGGTTGACATTTGATTTTCCATGAAACGTGTTGGCTTTAGGCATCTTTGTGCCTTGGGACTCAGAATGGCAATGTCCTCTTGACTCAGCACCTAACTAACTGTCAGGTGGGGGCAGGTCTGCTTTTCCTTGCCCTTCCTGTACACACTGAGAGGCTGGTCTCGGGCATGTTGTCTGCTTGGGAGAATCTGGGCCTGTGACTTCTGCTGGAGTCTACTAAAGCCTCCTGGGTGTCCTTCCACCTGACAGATGCAACCCAGTATTGGCTGAATAGCAGGAAAGAAGCCAGCCTGGCTCTTCAAAGAGTTGAATGCTCAGGACAGACTCGGGAAGGTCAGAGTGGCTTCTACCATGTTGGAAGGACAGGACTGTAATCCTGTACAGTTTTACTCAGTATCTTTGAGTGTAGCCTAAATCCAATAGTAGTGATTTAAAACATTATCACCAAGCCACATCCAGTTTAGACAAGTTAGATGTTAGGTATGCTGAAGACTAACTTGAGGAATTTGCAGACACCCCAGGCATACCTCCCTAGTATGCATGTATTCTTAGGGCCTAGGCCTCAGCTCCTCACAGTGGAGGAGGCTAAAGAGCATCCAGCATCAGCAAACTGGGCAGGATAAGCCCCTTTCCTTACTGCTGTCTCCATCACCTCATCTATCTCCAACCCTTGCCTGGTTTCTTAATCTTTGATTTAGGGGCGAGACTGCACTGCACAAGGCCGCCTGCCAACGGAACCGGGCTGTTTGCCAGCTTCTGGTGGACGCCGGAGCATCTCTGACACAGACAGACTCCAAGGTAACAGGATGAGAGAGTGCAAGCATCCCCCCACTGTGAGAGATCGCAGGCACTATGGCCTCTGCTTGTGCCTGCAGCACAGGCACCCTTTCTGTGCTCATGGGAGGGCTGGGGCATTGGGAAAAGGAGGAAAAAATAGAGTGCTTCATTTAGAGAAACTGCAGTTTAAATGTAGAAGCACAAAGGGAGGGTGTGTGTTTGCCCGTGGTACTTTATAAACCTCTACACATGCTAAAGAAAGACAGAGGGCTCATGGTGCTCTAATGAAACACCAGCAGGCAAGGAGTCGGGAAGAGAGACCCAGAGGGTAGGGATGCAGTGGAGTGAATGTCCTAGCCTGGCTACTAGGAAGTGTCTTTAGGGTTCATCGTTAGCACCAAACCTAATATAATTTAAAATCTGTGATTTGCATTGTTCTAAGCATGGAGGCTAAGTGACTGTATACTGGCTGACTCCACACTTTGAGGTGGTAACAGCTGACATATCCCCGATATATCCACATGGCTCTGTATCTGTTTAAGTGTGTGCATATATTTATGTGTTTATATGTTTATATGGATATGCACCATGTGTTCTAAGGCCTGTTGAGGCCAAAAGAGGTGTCAGACCCCCTGGAACTGGAGTCACAGGTGGTTGTGATTCGGCAAGAGTAGCAAGTGCTCTTGAGTGCTGAGCCATGTGTCCAACCACAGATTTACCTTTGCTTTTGCAAAATTTTTCTATGTGTTTTCTTACGTCATCCCCTAAGTGTCCACCATAGAAGTATTATTGACAGGCACGGGAGCAGAAAGCCAGAGGAAGAATAGTTATTGCACTACTAACTCTGTTGACTTGTAGCCTGGACCTGTCTGAGCCAGTCAGCCCTTCTCATTTGGTGCCAGGATATCCCACTTCCCTCAGTAGGACAGCGTGCGTGCGATAACAAAAAGTAACCGGGTTCACCGCCCTGTACCTTGAACACAAAGGGCCCACAGGTGGAGAAAAGGCACCAGGAAGAGGCCAGGAGAGCGGCATCTGGCGCCGTCCTCAGCAGATTCAATTCACAGAGTTCAGTTCACAAGCGACAGAGTTGATGAATGGAGTGTGGGGTCTTGTAACTCAGGGGAGTTGACCAAAGACAGAGACAGAAACAGGAACAGATACAAGCAGATGGCAGACAGACAGATGCACACACACACACACACACACACAGAGAGAGAGAGAGAGAGAGAGAGAGAGAGAGAGAGAGAGAGAGAGAGAGAGAGAGTCAGTCTTCCATCCTGATAAGTTGGAGTTTTGAAGGACTTTGAGTATGCAGTGAGAGAAAGGACCATCACTATATCTCTGTGGTTCTAAGAAGAATTTTAAGGTACGGGTGAAGCTTTCATTAAGTAGGAAGAGTTTTTGAGCAAGTAACTATAGCTATTGTACATCACTTAGGACTTGGAAGCCTGATCATTGGAGTTGTAAACTCCATTAGATTTGGAGAATCTACATATGTGCAGTTTGGGCCCTGGACTTTTCTTGAAGGCCAGCAAACCCTGCAACATAAGTTGCCTTATGAATGGGCCTCTCATTCACTTCTGAGCCAGCTACATGATCTATATTTTGGTGTCTAGATAATCTGTTACCTGTTTAGCTAAGCAGATATCATTTTACAAATGATAGGTAAATGTTCAACATGGCATTGTCCCTGGATGAAGACCTTTCACTGAAATGTTTCCATGTTTAACTGAATCCAGAAATGCATACCTTGTAGGCAGGGATAGCCTAGGCCACAATGGGGAGAACTGGCTCAGCAAATACAGTTCAGACTGCAGTATGGTTGCTGCCCACTTATCACACAAAGGCTGGTCCTGTGTACAGTTCACATATTAAAACAAAGACCAGAGACACTAGAAACAGAGAGACAAACTGAAACTCATGAGGTCTGTCCTGGGAACAGTTGTCTGTTGTTCTCTAAGTTTCTTAGATAGTTGGGCTCGAGACCTCTTCCTATTTTGAATCATTTAAGTGTATTCTCTTTATTCCAAATTTAAGTAACTCTGGTTTTTATGATCATACACAGAAAATTAGAAATACAGGAAAGCAAAAGTCACTTAAAATCCCTTCCCTTAGTCCTAAATATGATTGAACTGATGTCTGTTTACATGTAAGTATGTCTGCTTGGCTCTCATTTTTAAAAATCAGTTGGGGTCATACCAGATAAGCAACTGAACAACGACACTTTCCATTCACACTTGTGCTGTATAGATCTTACCACATAGCAATATAGCTGTGCTTTATTCCTTTTTCAGAATCCTTTCATCTTCTATTCTGTAACACGATGCTAGATTAAAGCTGAACATCCTCGGGAATGAAAATGCTCATGGCACTTTTAGGACAGAAGCAACATCCCAGGAGATAGAAAAGAATTCCCTCTAACCCACTCAAGTTCCCTTCACCCCACTTTTCTGAATATTTGGAAGGTGGGGATGCCAACCTCACCATTGTCAAAGTAAAGACAAGATGGTCTACTATAATTGGGTAAAAATGTTATAGGACCCCCAAGCTAGTGACTTAGTACTAGGTGCAAACTAAATGAGTGAACTTTTAGGGAGATGAGTGTTGAAACAAGCAAAAAAGGACCTTGTGGATGATCTGTGAGTTAGTGTTCTTCCTCTCGGCTTCTGCTGCTCGGTTCCTGGTGTTTAGTGAAGAGGAACCCTGAACTAGACACATGACTCTCTGCTTCCCTGCTTCATTCCCTGTTTTCTCTGTCTTCTTCTGAAAAGCACTTGGCTTTCAAACTCCCTGCACACAGTCTTGGGGAGACTCCATGGCTCCCTATTTACTGAGATGCAGCCTCTGCCATCACCCTTTAATTTACCAGCACACATGTATATGATCCTGATTATGGAAGCAACTAGATTTGAAAGTGTCTTGTAAACTCCGAAGCATCAAAAAAAAAAAAAAAAGGAAGGATTCTTTGTAGTGACTCATTGTTGGCTAGCCCATGTCTGTTATATGTGGGTATCAGTTCACTCCAACTGTTTGTTTTTCTCCTGTTGTCTTTAGGGGAAGACACCGCAAGAGCGAGCTCAGCAGGCTGGGGACCCAGATCTGGCTGCTTACTTAGAAAGCCGACAGAACTATAAGATCATTGGCCATGAGGACCTGGAAACTGCCGTTTGACCCTGGTTGACAGGCAAAAAGAACTCGAGCAAGCGTATTACCTACGCCCTCCCTGCCACTGGGCAGCTCCCCTGGAAGAAGCTAATGGAATCCATATCCGCCTCTCTCCTGCAAGGATCTATCTGAGACCACACTACCAGGTTTTAAGGGCTACCGGGATTTACAACAGGACATGATAGCCCGTTGAGAAATAGGCAGGCTACCTGGAGATTTGTGGAGTACACGTTCCACAAAACTTGATCCTTATTGCTTCCAGCAAGTAGCATGAATTTCAGTGTTCACCTGTCTAATTTATTTTTAATGAGTCTGAGGATGTTCACATAAACGGCACTGCCCCTCCTCCCTTGCGGCATTCAGCTTCCCCCAGTACCACATAATGCTACTGTAATCACCCATCAATTTAGAAAATATGCTATCTCTTCTCTTTACTTTCAGTCTTCCAACCACAAGGTTGTCTGAAGGTCTTTGAAACCCTCCTGGATGTCTTGCAGAAATATATTTGTAAAACCACTCCATTTGCAGACTAAATATGCCGAGACTAGTTAGTGGCTTTGCATGCCTCCTGCCCCCTCTGGTGTTATCAGTTATCAAGTAATGTCAACTCGTGTGCTCTGTCTCTGAGGTCTGGTGACTTAGCATGGGAGCTGTCCCTGCCTGCTTGAAGTACTTGAGAGAGAGAGAGAGAGAGAGAGAGAAAGAGAGAGAGAGAGAGAGGTTACCCAGGGGTCAGCCCAGGCAGTTGGGCTTGGTACTAGGAAGGACTGGTTCAGCTTGGGCTGTTTGTACAGCTCCGTACTGCCTATGCGTAGCCATCTTTGCCTTCTGCTACAGTAGAGATGCGTCAGGGAGTCCGTGAAAGCCCAAAGCTAGTTTGCAGAGCCATGTGATTCTAAGTGCTGTTTCAACGACAGGGTTGGACCTGTCTAGGACAGTGGTTATAGGGATTGGAGCATTCAGATGTTTAGTCCTAAACTCTGTTACCTGATAATAGAAAGAAGTCTAAATGACTTGAAACAATAGCAAAAATAAAAGTAGCAATGTATGTTGGGACAATATACTTCAGCAGGAAAACAACCTTTGCAGTCATGGGCCGAGGCTAATTACTACAGGCTCATGGATACAATGGTGAAAGGGGATTCATGTTTGCTTTTTTAGGAAGTTCGATTTTCCCAAGGTGAAGGAGGACGCTGACTCAAGGACAAAGATCCATTTCACCAGTTCCATGGCCAGACTCTCAGGATGCCTGGCCTTTCCTAGCCTGTGCGTCACCTGTGACTTTTCAGGTTCTGAGATCATGTCTGTTGACCCCATTGTCCACATATTTGGGGGAGGGGGTCCCTACTTTATTTTTTTCCTGTCACGAGCTTCTTAATATGAGCCACTGTGGCAGAATTTATGAGCTTTATGAGATTGTCACTTGTGTCCATGCTATGGATTTGGAGGGACCAGGTAATAAGGAGGAGAAAACAAAATCAGTTTCTTTTCAAAACTCTCCTTGCCTTAGGTGTGGGTCACAGATGCAGGTGGTGTATCTGAGGGCTTTTCTTTCTGCTTCCTTCCATTTTTCTCATGAGCGCAGGAAAATGTTTCCTCTGTGTTTCTGCATGTGACCTTTAATCTCACAGTCCAGTGGAGACAACTCGTTCACCAGAATCACATCGCATCATTTTGAAAGGACGGATATGGTGTACCATATTAAGTGTAAGCAAACTTTGAATAGGTGGGGATTTCATTGCCAGAGACTCCCTATAGTCATTTCAAGATCAAACTTGGCATCATTTCGAGCTGGGGGAAAATGAGTTGGCTAAGAGTAATGTATTTCTAAGCATCCATCTCAGAACTGAAACTCCCTCTTGGATTTTACAGGGATGGAAAGCAGAGGGTCTGGACTAGATTGTTTCCAGGAGCTGAAGTCGCTGGGTTTCTGTTAGAAGCATTTCAGTTGTTGGGGCTGTCAAGGAAATATTGTGATGACAAATATAATCCCGAGAACGGACTGGAACCTGGCTTCAAACAGAGCCTTCCATCTCCTAGATTGAGCCAAACATTTGGCTCAGCATTTGGTTATCCAGCTGGACCACTGCTGGGATACAGGACTGCATTTTCATCAGCCACCATCTCACATTTCTCTGAGAATGCTTCAAACCAGCCAGAGAAAATTTAGGATAGAAGTGCCTAAGGGCCAAATCCAATAACTCCAACTAAGACACAAATTCCTGGCTTGAAAGTAGATGCAGCACTGCCTACTGGAAGGGTCCTGATGCTGTAGAAGTTGCCCCCCTCCACAGAAGAAAAAAATAGATTCTACATGGTTGCAGAGGAGCAATATACATGATCCGTCTCTGGAAAAAGACAGCGCCTCCAAGACCTGGGGTTTTAAAAACAATGTGAGCAGAGAAGCCACAGATTTCATTATTTCAGCATTAAGTCTACCTCCTATAGGGTATTTTTTCTCTTTTAGTTATGTGTTGTGTGTGATAGTTCTGAGCATTAGAAAGAGCTGAGGCCATGTGGTCGAAGAGTGCCTGCGTCTGCTTGAGAATCTAGTGTCTCATTGGTGAGCCAGCTGGAGGCAAAGAAGAAAATGGTACATTCAATCCTAGCCCCACAACTTTCTCAGACATAAAAATGTGTACCTATGGGGCGGGGGGAGGGACAATCTTTATGTATCCCCCTGGGGCTCTGTTGGAAGGACAGCCAGCCTAGCTGATTCTCCCAGATCCAGTTCCTTGTGCTGTAGAACTGTCTTCTTTGGAATTCCTCCTTAAATTAGGCTGGTGGGAGGATGAAAATGAAGTGCTGTTAAAAACAGAATTCTAGAGCTGTAAAGATAATCATTTTTGTAAACTTGTATTACATAGACCATGAAACATTAGCCCAGTCCTGGCCCCAACCACATTCAGCAACAGAGACCAGGAGAGGATTAGTTAGCCTAAAAGCGTGACTGGGAATCTTGCCGCCAGATTTCTGGTCACCTCCATAGAGGTGATGATTGAAACCCAGCGGGAGTTCTAAAGCAGAATTCAGCTGCAGTATGACATTATTTAGAACTGTAAAGTCCTCATGCCCTGCTGCTTTCCGTCTTGCCAGAAACTGCCCAGGCAGATTTGTCTGGACTCTAAGATGTTCAACAGGGCACAACTTTCCACTGGGACCTAGCAGAGACTCTTTGGCCTAGTGGATCTCTGAAATGTATTTGCTCGAATCCCTAGGATATTTATGTCTAACAAAAATAAGGGGTGGCAGTTGCATTTTATCACACATCAATTATATGACCACACATTTAGTTATGAAAGTAGCACATGCATTTCATAAAAGTTCTATCTAACTCCACAGGAAGTACCACTTGCAGCATGAAAGCACCCTCTACTGTCGTATCTCAGTACCCAGCAAGAAACACTGTCAATGTGGACAAACATGATTGCTTGTATGTTATGTCAGAAATATCTTGCTCATATACACACATATCTGTACATGTACACATATATCCATCCATACCTAAATAGAAACATATTTATTTGTGTACATATATGGGCATATATGCCATATTCACATATTGCATATGTTTAGAAAAGAAGACATTTGAAAGCATGCAACTCATCTTTATGTGTATGGTTAACACTAATAGACGGTGATTGGTACAGTAACAGAATTTCATTTCATTGTTATTTCCTCCATCCCTGAGCTGACTTCTATCTCTGCATCACTGTAGTTGTAGATGGCATTGGCTACTGTCAGAGTCATTTATTCCATGACCAATAACTCTTCTGATTATTTATATGTTGCCTTCCATGAGGCATGAAACCAACCTTAGCCCCGAGGCTTGTCTACTTTTGTATCTCCAGGGAGTAAAGGAGAATTCTTTCTTCTGTTATCTCCTCACTGCTTTAAAGCTGAGTTGGTAAGATCAACACCTAGTCAGCTTTCTAATGTTATTTAACTAGGGCAAGCTATTGTCAGGAAGGGGTAGATGCTTGGGTGTAGTCTGGGGGTTGGAGCAGCTTGTCTTCCAGTAGGAGAAGCTAATTAAATCATTGAGCACAGCATGCTGTTTTATTCAGCTTTGCTCTTTAACAGTAAAAATAGAATTTTGTGAAAATGGCTCATCATAACCCCCAACTAAGACTGTTAATTGTTCTGTGCAAAACCAAATTACGTTCATGTTAGGAAAAGAAAGACCACGTATTAAATTAGCGATCTGAACACACTGTAATAAGTATTTAGTATAAACTCCCTTCTGCCCGCATCTCAAAAACACTGCCTTTCAATCTCTCGGTGCGTCTCGGCACGGAGCTCCGCATGATAAGATGTCCCATCTCTGCGCTCCAGTCATCTCTCATTCTCTGTCCCCTAGCTCCCTGGCAGTACCAGCATTTCTGGCATTCTTCTCCATCGCTTTGTTTCACAGCTGCCTGAAACTTCCCCAGATGTTATGATTTAAATATACCAACATGAGGTTTCCCTCTGGGGCAAGTACCCATGGACATGCCTACTGACCTTGACCATCTTATAGAATTATGACAAGTTGATTCTTAGAAGTAGTCTGTGAGATGCAGTTTATTTCTTGTTCTACTCACTTGAGAGGTCACAATCATAGACCCCATCAAATGGAAGGGGACACGTGCCAGACCCAGAGGACCTGACCATCTTTAGAATTATGACAAGTTGATTCTTAGAAGTAGTCTGTGAGATGCAGTTTATTTCTTGTTCTACTCACTTGAGAGGTCACAATCATAGATATCTCTTCCATTTCAAATGGTATAGGGGACACGTGCTCTTAGTATTACCCAGAGGACAGGATTATATATGGGTTATACTCTTGAGAGCCATCTGTGGTTCGTTAAGGTTGTTAATGCCATTTAATGAGAAACCTAAAAACAGAAATAAGCAAAGGATACCACACTGGACAATCCACTCACCCAGGAGATTGAAATTCATTGTCCTTGTTCCAAAGAGGAAAAAGAGAATGATCACAAAGCCATTACTTTTACAGTAGAACGTCAAATATTGGATGATGTATTCCTTCAGGAAGTACTTATTATATATACATTCAATCATGCTCATCCAAAACCCCATCACATTTGCAAGTATTTCAACATTTCTTTCAAAATATTAATCACTCACTGTGATGCAGACAACCACAGTAAGAACATAGCTATCTATGAATGCAAAGGATAGATGCCTTCCCTGGCAAACAGGAAACAAAAGAAAACTTAAATAGTTTAAGTTTTGTTAAGTTGTGGGTGTTTGTACTTGATCATGCCCTGAAAATTCACCAGGACCTTTGTAATTCTTTGGATAGCATATTTTAGTTCTGTGTGAGCAAATACAAT